CCTTTTTTTTTTTTTTTTTTTTTTTTGCCCTCCTCCCCTGTACTTTAGAACACCTCCTCGACGTCTTCCTCCTCCACAACCTTCTTCACGCCGCCAACCTTCCCCTGCATGCTTCACCCTATCGCGGTGAATCTCCTTCTGCTCCCCTCTCTGTTGTCGGAACCCATCCTGACCGACCAAATCCCCACTCTCTCCCTCTCCTCCTCCTGATCCCGCATCCTCACCCTCCAACGTCGTCACTCTACTCCAGCCTCTCAAGGTGGAGACCTTCTCCAGCCTGCATGACCAGGCACTTGACCTCCCCCTACCGCCTTTCCCCGAACACAACGCACCCTCATTTAGGCTCTATCTGGCCGGAAATATAGCTTGCATGCATTCATTTTTGGGGTGCGTTATGTTCGGGGGAAGACGGTAGTCTTAGGGTCAGATCCCACTACCCTGGATTATTCATTTTTCACCCTCCATTACGAAGATCAACGGTCAGAAATGAACAATGGGGGCTAGTGGGATCTGGCCCTTACTTCTTCCCCCTGCCTCTCCGCATGCACGGCATCATCCCCGCCTACGTCTGATGATAGCGGCCGTGCAAAAATCTACTCCCACTCGCAACATGGCACCCCCACACAAAATGGAGTTGCAGCCATGAACGTGGATGGAGGGAGGAAAGGAGGGATGTAGGGAGGGAGGGGCAGAGAGAGAGAGAGTGGGTGCACTTCGCATACGCCGTGGGAACCCACCTATTTGATTTTCGGGCCAAATGTGAACGGAACCCCCCGCCTCTTCGCGCACAACACCGCCGAGAGAGAGGAGGGCGGGCAGGGGAGTGAGGGTGCACTTCGCTACGCCGCGGGGACTCACCTGCTTCCTTCTTGGGCCGCGTGCGAATGGAACGCTCGACAACTTCAGCAACAACACCGCAGGCACAGAGAGAGAGAGAGAGAGAGAGAGAGAGAGAGAGAGAGAGATTCGCCCTCAGGATGGCTGTTCGAACGCACCCCGACGACGCCTTCAACAAACCGCCGTGGCCATTTGTTTATTTGTTTGTTTGTTTGTTTGTTTTTTCTTGAGATATCATCATTGAGCTGACCGGCCCCAAGCACTTTATTAATGGTTGGTTTTACTCATCAAGTTCCATCATCTGGATTCGAACACAGGTCTGTATTTCAACAGTTCAATGTTTGTTTGTTTTAATGATCTAGTACCTCCGCCAGTGTTGGGAAATTAAGACTTTTTCTCCTTCGGGACATCCGTTAAAATTGGAACGATACAGAGAAGGTTAGCATGGCCCGCAGCGGCCTAACTCAGTTGGTAAGGCTCGCAAGTGGCATTCAGGAGGTCGTGGGCTCAATCCCCATTGGCCTCATTTACCTTCCTGGGCATGCTTGGCGCCCGCCACCTAGAAATAGACCACTGGATCCCCCGACTGGCATTTAGCAGAGTCTGCTGATGTTCATAGGGGAGGGGACCTGAGGGGAGGCACAGGGATTGGTCCTGTTGGCATGGTCCCTGATGCTTCCCCCGATTGGCACTTAGCAGAGTCTGCTGATGTTCATAGGGGAGGGGACCTGAGGGGAGGCACAGGGATTGGTCCTGTTGGCATGGTCCCTGATGCTACCGGCTGTCCCCTAGCCGGTATCGCCCACCTGCAG